CCCAACCCACCCCATGCCCCTTTAGTCTCTCCTGACTTGTGATTCAGCCACATCCTTCCATTTCCAGCTTTCACAAAAGCAAGGCTTTAGACAGTCTCAATTAAACAAACAGAATTCTCTACGTCAGTGGGCTTACAGACCTTTTTACTCTTGTGATAGATGACAATAAAAGGATTGAACTCGCTCTCGGCATGCACAGCGCAGCAGTTATTTCAGTACAGGACGCTGGATTCCCAAAGTTGCATCTCCCTCTACCGGTGACTTTTTGTGCGCTTATCACACGTGACAAGCTCCAAATTAATTTGGTCGGTGTCATGGAATGGTTACTGTTGGCTGCTTGAACAGGAAGAACATGGCAACAGAAGATAAGTTTAAAAGTAAATTTATAACGTTGGAAGTAAGTGGAAATTTTAAAGTTTCAGTTTAGGCAATAAAAAAGTTTTCAGCCTTTTTTTTTTGGTCAAGGGGATGGGGGAAAGGGAGGGCAGGATGAAGGAAATAAATGCACGGATATTTAAATAGCTGGTACGCTAACAGGGATTGCAAGGTTGCTTTCTTCTTACTTTTATTCTCCTTTACCTGGTAGCTTTTTAAGGTATCTTTAACATTGGGTGATAGCTTTCTCAGAGCTGGCTGCAAAACATGTCCAGTCTGAGCTGCTTCAGGTCATCAGTCTTCAGATTTTTTTCCTACTTCATCATAGCATGAAAATCCCCCTCTTCTCTTTCATGCTGTCTGTCCACCAGAAGTCATTCACGATTAACCATCCTGTGTTCAAAACTTGCATTAAGGGTGCGCGCAGATAGGAGCAGACAACCTACAGAAGCTTACGAGCTCCAGTAATAGCGGCTGGGCATTAACAACCTTACAAGACCAAAGCAGCACAAGTTGCTCAGAGACACTCAAGCAAGACACAGGTACCTTCCCACTTCGAAAGCAGTCACGGGCACCCAATGCCACAACTCCAGAGAAGTTCCTGGGTCCCAGGCACAGGTTGGCTCGTGGGGACCAAGCTCGGGGGGGAAGGTTCAGCCGTGCTCTAAGCTAGGAACTTGAACTCAAGCCTCCAGAGTTAACGCACAGCTAAGCCATTAAGCTCCTTAGTTTCCACCACCTCATTAATAACATATCCTCTAAGGCCAAAGGAAAACACAATGGAGGGATGGGAAAAAGAAGAGCCCGATTGCATTTAAGAATTTAAATCATTTTATTGCTTTACCTGCCATTAGGACAATCTATAACAAAAGGAATATAATATAATATATTAGCACATACAGTAAATCAGACTTATATAGTCAGGTAACAATACAAAAATGGTCCTCTGGTTGACTATAGCTTTCTAGGGCAATAGACTTCATAATTCGCTAAAGGTGGACTAGCAAAAAATTACTTCTAAAGCCCTGAATGTTAGCTAAGGCAAAACTATGCCAATTGTGGTTTCAAACATATTTAAATTGCACACAAAGGTAAAGCTATAACTGTGATTAATATTTAACTCAGACTTAGCTGATTTATCTTAAAATCTTGTAGGTAAAACTACAAAAGGGAGTAAACAGCAAGCTAAAAAGATGCAGTAGTGAAACTTGATTAGAAAGCCTTATATAAAAAAAATGTGCATTTTTTTTGTGGAGCTCTAGCTAGTTTACACAGTTTTTGGTGCTTTAAAGTAACACAAAAAACACGTATGAAGAAAAAACCCGGATAGAGTCAAAACTTAAGAAAACAGTTTTACCAAAAAAAAGAAAAAAGGTAGCATTAGCTTACTCCTTAAGGACTCTGGCAGAAATCCTCTACTCAACATCTTCTGAAGAGAGAACTCAAACCACGAGCGTTTAAATCCCGTTACTGGGATTGCAGGTTCGGAAATACCCTGAAACCTTTTGCAGAGGCTTGATACCCTCCGTATTATTTTGCATCCATTAGCAGACTTTCTGATTATCTACGTGCCTGGGAGAAAGTGGGTTGAATTTGAATCCGTATCACCTCAGAAAGGAAATAAACTGAGGGCTCCATCATTAGAAGTAGTTGCACAACAAATGCAAAACTGCTTGCTGTCACTCCCAAATACAAACCTACACTACTTTTATATAAATTACAGTTTAAAGGAAACCTTAAAAATTGCCTACCATTATTGAACCGTGGAATTCAGTAAAAACTTTTGGGAAGTATTGGTGCGCACAGAATAATGGAACACAAAGCTGGTAAATACTGAAATACATTTAAGACTCCGCAACATATTGAACTTGGAAAAAAGAGTGAGTATGAAATGCGTGTCATGTAAATTCCATAAGCAAGGAAAGAGAATGCACCTTCTGTATTTAAACTAGATTGACGATTAACCATTTTAAAAAAATTATGAATTGACCGATTTAAAAACTTAAAATAACTGAGTGTCGCAGGAAAGTTATAACATTCACTTTTTCCTGCCTCACATTCTCTACTAAGAATAACGGCATCTATATAGACCAGCAATCTTGCCACCTGCAACGGACGCTGGCCATAAATACTCAACATTTATTTTCCCTGGTAACAAAGGGTCACCCGAACTGATGATCATTTTTTTAAAAAGTCAACTGAGGAATACAAAGCAAGCAACAGTCACAGGGAAAATAAAATGTTTGCTTCCAATTTCTACATCAATCTAAATACTTGAACATCACTAACAGCTGGACAGCTGCACCATTCTTACACCAATCTATGTACTAGAGACCAAAGTCAGGCATTTTATGTAACATTTGGTTCTTGCCACTTTGAACAGGAAGAGTTTTAAATGGCATATCTATCGTTGAAGAAAGAACAAGAAAAAAAAAAATCGGTTGCGGCAAGTCAGCAAATTAAGTAACAACTGCAGTAGTTCACCAGAACTATTAACCTTGAAAGCTTTGATTTACACTTGACAAAAACATAACTAAGCAATCTTAAACCAGCAGACACAGGAACAATTATACTGTTAAATTCCAACTGTGGCTTTCTTAGCAGCTGATGCCTCACGATTGAACCCAGGATTACAGTACCCAGAAAATTTAAAAAAAAAAAAAAAAAAAAAGAAACCCCCCAAGCCCCAAGAAGCTCAATTACAAGGGCAGTTCTCATTTGAAAAGGAAATACAGCAGATTATGACCACAGCCTTAAAAATCCATCCAACAATTTGAGAAACAGCTTTAAAGAAAAAAATTTTTCCCCTTCTCTACTGTCACCTCCTTACTCTATGGCCATCGGCATGGCGCCAGGAGATCTCTCCCTCGCTGAAGCAAGGCTGCATTTGCCCGAGTTGGACACTGCTGCACAGAGAGAAG